GCAGAAGGGAGTCTGATTTTGGACTCTCCAGCTTTAGTAAATAAACCCCACTATGTCATTTTGCGTGGCCTACTACTTGGTGGCTGAGTTGCTGTTGTTCCCAGTTGCTTCCACTTTGTTACAATACCACTAACAGTTGACCGTGGAATATTTAGTAGCCAGGAAATGTCACAGATGGACTTATTGCACAGGTGACAACCTATCACGGTACCACGCTTGGAGTCACTGAGCTCCTGAGAGCGACCCATTCTTTCACAAATGTTTGTAGAAGCAGTCTGCATGCCTAGGGGCTTGATTTTATACACCTGTGTCCATGGAGGTGATTGAAACATCTGAATAATATGATTTGGAGGGGCTATCCTAATACTTTTGGCAATATAGTGTAGATTGTGTTGCAGCTCCTCACTATTGTGCATTCAAACACCAAAAGAAATCTATATGGAAAAAGTGTAGCGTAACAAAAATGTGTATAATCCAATATAAATGTGCAACAATTATTTCAATAAAAATGACAAACGCATGTTAAAGCATAAAACACAATTAGTGATATAACTGGTGATATGAATAAAATGCAATTAATACCCCGTAAGGCATAACTACCTGTCAAACCTGCCCACTGAGTTCAATTGGACTGAGCTCCAACTGTGTGCAGTGTATGTGCAGTAGTGCAGTATTATAGGGTTAAATTAGACAGCGAGGAGGTGATTTAATGCCTCCTCACTGCTTGTCAAATGCCATCTGAAAAGTGACACAAATGTGGATCGCTCTTTAGAAGGCACCATACTCCACCACAAGTGTGAAAGAGCCCTTAATGTGGCTTTACAGCCTAATATCCATCCCAGCTGGTGTAGTGCAACATCAGGAATTTATAAATCCATCTGCGGTGTGTATAATCAGTCCATACTCCGGTTTCATTGCTTTGCTCATCATCAACAGAGCCAATCATTCTGCCGCCCAGGTATTATTTGTTTAAAATAGCTTCATTGCTGCCTTTGAATATTGTTAAAAGGATACTTTAATCACTACATGTATTAATATAAATTGTAGCTGTAATGTCTACTCTCATTTTGTAACCCGCTGCGCAAACTGTTGGCGCGATACCAAATCCTGTATTATAAAAATAATATAAAAGAATAAACTACAAGACTGCCACCTAATGGGCACAGAAGGTGATGGAGCAAGCCAAGATGGTAGGACAGACTTGACAAGACATATATTAGGCCGGCCATAGAGGTCAAAATTCTGCCGGATCAGCAGGAAATAGCTGCCTTTTCAATGCATCTATAGGCAGGCTGGTTGTACTGAAGTTCTTGTTGAAACCCTCTGTCCTCTGATCCCACACCTACAGCATTCATCTTCCAATGCTGCGGGGGGGGTAATAGAGCTGAAGGACCTGTCATATATACTCATGAAGAATATCAACTATGCCCCTTTCTGCCCCCTCTACCCATTCATAGATTCTGTACTATAGCTTCCATCAATGAAAAATGATCTATGAATGGAGGAAGTGAACCTTTTCATGGACCCTCCATTCATAGAGCATGACTTATTCATGAAGGCTATAGTACAGCTTCAATGAAAGGAGTAGGTGAACCTTTCATTCATCCACCCTCCATTCATAGAGCATGTCTTATTCATGACGGCTATAATACAGCTTCAATGAAAGGAGTAGGCACACCTTTTATTCATCCACCCAACCTCCATTCATAGAGCATGGCTTAATTATGGAGGCTATAGTGCAGCTTCAATGAAAGGAGTAGGGGACCTTTCATTTATCCACCCAACCTCCATTCATAGAGCGTGTTTTTATTAATGAAGGCTATAGCACAGCTTCAATGAAAGGAGTAGGGGAACTTTTCATTTATCCACCCAACCTCCATTCATAGAGCATGACTTATTCATAAAGGCTTTAGTACAGCTCCAATGAAAGGAGTAGGAAGACCTTTTATTCATCCACCCAACCTCCATTCATAGAGCATGGCTTAATTATGGAGGCTATAGTGCAGCTTCAACGAAAGGAGTAGGGGACCTTTCATTTATCCACCAAACCTCCATACATAGAGCATGTTTTATTCATGAAGGCTATAGCACAGCTTCAATGAAAGGGGAAAAACTGACCTTTCATTCATCCACCAAACCTCCGTTCATAGAGCATGTCTTATTCATGAAGGCTATAGTACAGCTTCAATGAAAGGGGAAAAACTGACCTTTCATTCATCCACCCAACCTCCGTTCATAGAGCATGTCTTATTCATGAAGGCTATAGTACAGCTTCAATGAAAGGAGTAGGCGGACCTTTAATTCATCTGCCCATCTTCCATAGAGTGCATTTCATTGATGGAATCAGCTGCCATTGCTCACCTCATTTCAGAAATGGCAGTTTTCTCGCTGGCTGTGGTCATTCAAAGGAAACTCAGAACTTCTGATTTACATGTCTGTGTTGGTCTGTGGCTCAAAGTGTTGAAGCCTTTTTATCAGCATGACAGCCAAGAAAGTTGCATTTTTTTAGGAGGTCAATATCTAAAATCTGTGTTTTCTACCAGCTTTCCTTTAAGCCGTGAGCTGTAAGAATGAACACTCCGGACATGCAATGCAGCTTCAGTGATACATAACATGTCTTGACTTGTCCACACACAACAATGTATTATTCTTACCCTGTAATCCTTTGTTATGAGTCATTCTGAGATGTGGTAACAAGATATCCTGGTCCTTTCTGGAACACAACTTTCCTGGTAAGGCCCCTTGCACACCGGAGCAGGTTAGCGCCCTGGAGGGGCATTACTGCCGGCAGCCTGTCAAAGTCTATGGTGGACTGCAGCTGGACGGGGCTGGGTGCCGGAACACGTACTGGCATTTAGAGTCCTCTTCATTCACAAATGAGGTTCTGGAATACAGAATATTACTTTCCTCCAGTATAGAGTGGAGCTCTCAGACTAGACTTTGGAACCCGATGAGGACATGCTTGGGCCCAGAACTACTCCATCGCATGGGATGGCTGCTTTCCTTTGTGCTTCCTCGTTAGAGCTGGCAATCTAGAAGGGAGGGTCAAGAGATACAAAAGGTAGTAACTGTGGGGAATGGGGTGATGGACAAAATGCATGTACAGTTGTTAGGTGGGGGCAGGATAGGCCTCTCTGAAAAGATGAGTTGTCAGGGATCATCTAAAAGTGGACAGAGGGAAATAGTCGGACATATTGGAGAAGGGAGTTCCAGAGGATGAGAGCGGCTCTGGAGAACTCTTGGAGGCAAGCATGAGAGGAGGTGACAAGGGAGCTAGAGAGCATGAGGTCTTGGGAGGAATGAGGAGAATGATTTGGTTGGTATTTTGAGACCAGGTTAGTGACATCACTAGGGGCTGAGTTGTTAATGGCTTTGTAAGTATCTTGAATTTTATTCGTTGGGTGAACGGGAGCCAGTGGAGGGACTGGCAAAGAGGGGTGAAGACACTGAACGGTTGGTAAGGTAGATTACAATGACAAAGGTCCCTGCACTCATTCCACAGGGGTTTACCATTATGGCCAGAGATGTTTTACACACAAGAACCTGTGTCTGTACAGTTCATACAGCAATTCAAACCATGCCAGTCACTTGGTGTGCTTCCTGCTAGCCTTGTCGCCATTCGTGACACAGGCAAAAGCAAAGAGGCATTTTAGTTCCACAAAGGGATGCCCTAGGTTCCTTCTGGTACCGGAATATATGCAGTCTGTTCAGTCTGAGTTTAATGCACTTCAGTAAAATGCAATATAATGTGAAAAAAGACAACCCCTTTAAAAAAAATAAAAAGTTTGGGTCTTCTCTTTTTAATATGTATTTGTTTTTTAAATCTTCTGTTTTGTCATTGCCATTAATAAACTATGAAACTGTAAGACGATAGCTGAGAATAAATGAGGTTGTTATAGAGCAATACAGTCTTTATTTGTGTTTAAAACAGGGATGCCAAACCCCATTTCATTGTGGGCTGCATCAGCATTATGGTTGCCCTCAGCCCTGGTTCACACTGATGCCATTTCTGTGAGATTTCTGCACCCCATCATAATCGCACCCCGTTTATGCAGACTGCTGCAGGTGTATATTTTAGGTTAACACCCCAAAATCTGTTCACAAAATGCAGTTTGATGTGCAGAATCAGATCGCATGGGTGTAAACACTCATGTGATCTGGTTCAAATGTGGACAAAAAGGAGGGTCCTGCACTATTTTGGTGTGAATGTGGTGCAATTTGAGCCATACAAAATGTGTGGCTCAAATTGCACAGCCCAGAAATTGCATGTGATTTGCACACAATTGGTTGTTTCCATAAGAATAGATGTTCAAAGCACCCCACCCCCCCTTACATCAGAAGTCAAAAGTCCCCCACCCTCCCTTACATCACATGCAGGGGGTGGAGCTGTGAAGCAGAAAGTGCAGGGTCTGGAGGAGGACCAGAGGAGTCCTGGAGTCAGCTACTAGAGTCTGCTGAATGCTGGGACCAGGGGTGGCCTGACCATTTAGAAACTCGGGCAGTAGGGGGCCCCATGAGATGCTCTGGTACTTTTTTTTTTTTTTTTTTTTTTTTTTTTTTTTTTTTTTTTATAGGCTTTTTGAGTTTGGGCAAGGACACAGAAGCCCCATGATCCCCTATTGCCCTGGGGGCCCCATGAGTTGTCAGTCCGCCCCTGGCTGGGACCAAATCAGGTGGAGATGAGAGGTGCTGTGGCTGCACAGAGGCACATGGTCTGTAGGAGGAGTTCTGTCCTCCTCTGTACTGCTGACACAAGGTGGGGGCGGAGATGAGGGGGGTGCCACAGTCCCACAGGACTTGTCTTTTGACACATGTGGTTTAAAATGTAGACATTCCATTCCCACCCCTGGTCATAAAACTGTCCCCCCAGATCTGCCCATACTAGAATGAAACCATAACCATGGACCAGAATGATCTGACTTGTTCTACCAGAAATAGTGTCCTGTTACACATAAATCCTGAATATTTTATAACCACTTCTTGTCTTGTATCTTTTCCAGCTATTTCAATGTGGAAAACAATAAAGAGAATCTCTTCAACAATCTGAATTATGACATTGCTGCTAAGAAGAGAAAGAAGGACCTTCTTAATAACAACACAAAGACACAATGTAAGTGTGCGCGCGGATATTTTATGCACTTAGTTAATAATAGTTTTACTCTCCAGGCAAGCAGCCAGATATAAAGCAAAGGTCCAGAGTTCACTGTCCCTTGGACTTTAGTGGGGACCCATTGGGGTCAGTGTTTGTCTAGCCTGGGAACATTACATTAACAATTTACAATGTTTAGAATATTCAGACCCCATGGTTTGTGCAGTTTATCAATACATCTGAAATTACATGTACTGAATGTTCTCTATAATTTTTTTCAACATTTTTCTGAACAGATTTCTACCAAGAAAAGTGGATCTATGTGCACAAAGGAAGCACCAAGGAGGTAAGCAGATTTCATTTTTTGTTCCATTTACATTCAGTATAAATACTTTTCTCACTTGTATATGTGTCTATATATAATAATAATTTGCTGTGTTATTTATCCTGCAAAACTTCTCTCGTTCTGTGTGAATGCTGGCAAAATCGAAAGTTACTAGGTTATATTCTCTCCAGGTCGAATGTTCTTCTTGATACGAATCAGGGACATACCTCATTATGGCCACTAGATGGGGCTGAAGATCTGGGGAATCAAATCATTGTTTCCTGTGATCCACATCTCTATCTAGTGGCTGTAATGCAGTATTATGAATGAAGAACATCCGACCTGGAGAGAGAATAGTCCAGTAACTTTTGATTTTGCCATTCACACAAAACGAATGTCTCTGCAATTATTTATTTTTTATATTTTTTTAAATACACCCATTAATGTTAAGTCTAGAAATGTTACTATGAAAACATGAATTGTATTATATGGGTCTCAGGATCATATGTGAAGAGTTTGTTACAAAGCCAATAATCAAGCTGTTCCTTTTATTGTCCCAGATCTCTGGTGGAAAAGTATATCTTTCTACCCCTCAGGCACATTTGCTCCTAGGCCTGCTGTCTCCTAAAGAATTTTCCAGTGGGGTCATTGTGTTTTTGTTTTTTTTTTTCCACCTCCAGCGCCATGGATATTGCACTCTTGGTGAGGCTTTCAACCGATTAGATTTTTCCACTGCTATCTTGGACACCCGGAAATTCAACTATGTTGTGAGGGTGAGTAGACCTTGCACTTCATTTCCTCCAAGTCTGTTTCTTTTCCATCAGAAATGAACTTTTTTTTAATTTCCCCACCACCACTCACACTATGTGCTTTTGTATGGTGGCTTTATTTTGGATGCATGCAGTATGTGTGGTGATATAGAATACTGGATACTTGGTTTGCAAACTCACCGAGGCTGATGTCTGAAAACTGGAGCAAAAAAAAAAAAAAACATCTGAAAAATTATAAAACAAAGTCTTAAAAAAACATGACAAATACAGAAAATGCTCAAGTGCTGTCCTTCCTTACTACTTCTTCCTTTCTCTTCCTTTTTTTTTTTTTTTTTTTTTTTTAAGCTTTCTTTTCCTGTATCCACATCTCTTCTCAGTTTCCCTTTCCTTTCTTTATTCCTTTCCATTCTGCTTCTATCTTTCATTTCCATTCTGGTCATGTTTCCTTTCCATTCCTTATTCCTTCCTTTCCTCTCCCCCTGCTTTTTTTTTTTTACTCTCCTCCTTTTTTCCTTTCTATGGTCCTTTCCTTTATTTCCCCTCCTTTCCTTATTCCTCCGTTTTTTCCTTTTTGTTCCTTCCTTTTCTTTCTGTCCCTTCTCCTGATGCTTTCCTTTTCTTCTTTTTACTCTGCACCTTTTTTTCTTCTTTAATTTGCCTTTTTTCTTTTATCTTGTGTTTTTTTTTTTTGTTTTTTTTTTTTTCCTCTGTCAAACTTTCAATAATGTATAGGAAAAATGTCTGTCTGCATGTACAAAGATTTAGCACCAGTTCATCCATCCAACATAGAACAAGAAATCCCCCCTTATTAAGTCAAGCTCCAACAATGCTGTGCTGTGTGCTGTTTTTGGGGAGAAATCAATTTCCAGTCCCATGTTGTTGTGTGTCCATGCTGGGAGCTTGGGTGGTGTGTCCATGCTGGGAGCTTGGGTGGTGTGTCCATGCTGGTAGTCTGGGTGGTGTGTCCATGCTGGGAGCTTGGGTGGTGTGTCCATGCTGGGAGCTTGGGTGGTGTGTCCATGCTGGGAGCTTGGGTGGTGTGTCCATGCTGGGAGCCTGGGTGGTGTGTCCATGCTGGGAGCCTGGGTGGTGTGTCCATGCTGGGAGCCTTGGGTGGTGTGTCCATGCTGGGAGCCTGGGTGGTGTGTCCATGCTGGGAGCCTGGGTGGTGTGTCCATGCTGGGAGCCTGGGTGGTGTGTCCATGCTGGGAGCCTGGGTGGTGTGTCCATGCTGGGAGCCTGGGTGGTGTGTCCATGCTGGGAGCCTGGGTGGTGTGTCCATGCTGGGAGCCTGGGTGGTGTGTCCATGCTGGGAGCCTGGGTGGTGTGTCCATGCTGGGAGCCTGGGTGGTGTGTCCATGCTGGGAGCCTGGGTGGTGTGTCCATGCTGGGAGCCTGGGTGGTGTGTCCATGCTGGGAGCCTGGGTGGTGTGTCCATGCTGGTAGTCTGGGTGGTGTGTCCATGCTGGTAGTCTGGGTGGTGTGTCCATGCTGGGAGCCTGGGTGGTGTGTCCATGCTGGGAGCCTGGGTGGTGTGTCCATGCTGGGAGCCTGGGTGGTGTGTCCATGCTGGGAGCTGGGTGGTGTGTCCATGCTGGGAGCCTGGGTGGTGTGTCCATGCTGGGAGCCTGGGTGGTGTGTCCATGCTGGGAGCCTGGGTGGTGTGTCCATGCTGGTAGTCTGGGTGGTGTGTCCATGCTGGTAGTCTGGGGGTGTGTCCATGCTGGGGGCTTGGGTGGTGTGTCCATGCTGGTAGTCTGGGTGGTGTGTCCATGCTGGTAGTCTGGGTGGTGTGTCCATGCTGGGGGCTTGGGTGGTGTGTCCATGCTGGTAGTCTGGGTGGTGTGTCCATGCTGGGAGCCTGGGTGGTGTGTCCATGCTGGGGGCTTGGGTGGTGTGTCCATGCTGGTAGTCTGGGTGGTGTGTGTGACATCCAAACAACTGTGACATTTCAGCTGCCAAAACCTGTTAATTTAGGACAGACAAAGTTTCTTGGCTCGAGATGTTTCTCTGTAATAATATTTACTTTGGATTTGGCAGGCCTGATTACAATGTAATTTACACAGCTGACTTGATGCTAGGATGGCAGTGTCTGTGGATTGTCATAGGTCTGTATTTCCTTCAATGCCATAATACCATCAGCAGATCAGCTCATACACTGTCTAGATAACAGGGTGCCCTATGTACACATTATTCAGTCTAGGCGGTGTGGCCACTACTGCCTTTGTAGTCACTGCACACCACACCTTCTATAGGATTTTTTTTTGATACATTTTTGTCCTTAAAACTGAATTCCAGCCGGAAAACCATCCACACAGCTGAAAGACATATCAAAGAGCTGCAAATGTATTTGTAATGGATGGTGCAGTCGAAAGTCAAAAAAAAGCAAACTGCCCCCTGAAAAAAAGAATTTAAAAATGAACAAACACTTAGAAATGTATCGCCTTCCCCTCCCAAATCCTAAAGGTGTCATCTATGTATTTCCTCTACAATTGTATAAACCCATGGAAGGGTTCTGAAGGATAAGATCCAATAAACAAATTGATAAAAAGGGTCAGTAGAACTGCTCATTGGGTAACACAGATCTACTTAAAGATCTTGTTCTCAAAAGAAGAGATTGCTCTACAGAACTAGTTTAAGACCCTCCAACAAAAATCTGTCTGGGGTCCCTCGAGCTGAGTCCAACACCCAAAAATATTCAAAGGACAAAAGTCCATTTGAATTTCAAAACATTTATATATCCATGGTTACTCTCCGAGAAAGGGGTTGTTAGTGGCCCTAAAATGTAGCAGTTTTGTATTCTAGAAATGGTGTCCTGGTGACATTTTTTGTTTTTTTTGGATTTCCCCAGCATGGCAGTATAGAACAAATGTTTTTGGCTGGAGTTGGGCTTTAAAAGTTTATTTGGATCTCACACTTGTAGATACACACCATCAAAGCTTTACGGTCCTGGTTCCATTGCAGACTATTCTGAGCTCAGCTGAGGACTGACTGCCATCCATGCTGACTTGGGAAAACATCTGGTATATTTGGATCCTCACAACCCGCCATGATGCATTCTATTGGCAGAACATTATTAGATGATGTTTCAAAGTTCAGCCCATCAATACCCTACAATGTGTGAGAATAGGAGAAATATTTCCATCATTAACCTATAGGCCAGAATCAATCCATCAACCTGTCAACATTTTTCTTCAAGACATTTAAAACATATTTGCCTGATCCAAAATCTAATCAAAACATGGCCATGTTGTTTTTGTTGAAACAAGGTGTCAGTTTTCTGGTGTAATGATTGTCTCCTAAAATGTAATGTCTTATGTAACTAGGGTTCAGTTTTATGAGTAAATTCTAATCTCTAGTACAGGGTCTCCAAATGTTTCAGTACTAGGATCGCACTGTATGTTACAAATGTTCAAGGGCAAAACAAATCAGTTTCATGAGTCAAATTTAAATGAATACATTTGTTACTTGATACTTTATATTGTTTATTTATAATCAGCTTGATATGCTTTACAACAACACAACAACTTCAGTAAAATAAAGCAAAGAAATTCCAAATGAACTTGAGCCCATCAGAGTCCCCCTTATATCAGGGACCCATCAGAGCCTCCTTACTTCAGAGTCCCCATCAAATTCCACCTTACATCGCAGTCTGCCTTACATCCGAGTCCAGGGCTGTAGATAAGGGGGGTACCACCAGTCCTCCTGTATGGAACCCAGGCCAGCAGGGGGGTCTAGACAGCTGGGTGAATCAGGTGTGGGCAGGGAGGGTGCTCAAAATGGTGGGGGGCACTACTGAAATAAATTCCCTGTATGGCTGTCTGCAGCAACTGAAATCTGGATTCTTCTCCTCTCCCTCCCACTGGTTTCCAGCTGCTGCAGACAGCCATACATGAATCGGTTCCAGTAATTGCCCCCCACCCATCACTTTTACTGTGCACCATACGCTTCTCCCTGCTGGCCAGCCCCCCCACTTCTGCAGTGCTGCCGGCTTCCGGTAAATATGTTGCATTTACCAGCCTCCGCCTTTCCTGAATGAAAACAATGAGTGATAGGTACTAATCACTCACTGTGTTCATTCATAACTGAAATATAGTAAACTGTTTTTTTTTTGGGGGGGGGGGAGCAATCAAGTTGGCTGTATGGGGCCTTGTGGTTTCTAACAGTAGCCCTGTCCAAGTCTCTATCAAAGTCCCCTTTTACATCGGAGGGCTAGATAAAATCTTGCAGCAGGCCGGATTTGGCCTGCACTAGTGCACAAAAAAAATGTATTGTATAAGCTGATTTATTTTGCCTACACTATATTCAAAGGGAATGTACATTACTTTTGGATCACCTTGTGAAAATGATTGGCTTGGTAAAATAATTTTATCAACTGGTTGGGTACCTGAGCCCAAGCAACATAAATTCCGGTGTATTTCCCCCACTTGGAAAGCCCAGGTGCTATGCATAGTCTATGTACACTCACCGGCCACTTTATTAGGTACATCTTGCTAGTACCAGGTTGGACCCCCTTTTGCCTTCAGAACTGCCTTAATTCTTCGTGGCAGAGACTCAACAAGGTGTTGGAAAAACATTCCTCAGAGATTGTGGTCCATATTGACATGAGTTATTGTTGCCTTTCTATCGTCTCGATCCAGTCTGCCCATTCTCCCCATTCTCCTCTGACCTCTGACATCAACAAAGCATTTTCATCCACACAACTGCCACTCACTGGATATTTTCTCTTTTTCGGACCATTCTCTGTAAACCCTAGAGATTGTGGTGCGTGGAAATCCCAGTAGATCAGCAGTTTTTTCCGCCTCCGTACTTGACTGTAGGGATGGTGTTCTTAAGTTCGTAGTCAGCATTTTTCTTCCTCCAAACAGGAATCCCAGTAGATTAGCTGTTTTTGAAATATTCAGACCAGTCTATCTGGTACCAACAACCATGCCACGTTCAAAGTCACTTAAATCCCCTTTCTTCCCCATTCTGATGCTCAGTTTGAACTTCAGCAAGTCGCTTTCACCACGTCTAGATGCCTAAATGCATGGAGTTGCTGCCATGTGATCGGCTGATTAGCAGTTTGTATTACCAAGTAATTGAATTGAACAGGTGTCCCTAACAAAATGGCGGGTGAGTGTATTTGTATATGGTCAGCTTTAAGTGGTAGTAAAGTCTTGTGTGACATTTTTACCTACAGGTGAGCTTAGGGGCAGACTGACAACTCAGGGGCCCCCGGGCAATAGGGGATCATGGGGCCCCTGTGTCCTTGCCAAAACTCAAAAAAGCCTATGAAAAAGGTACCAGGGGCATCTCATGGGGCTCCCTACTGACCCCAGGCCCTCGGGCAGTGCCCGAGTTTCCAAATGGTCAGTCCGCACCTGGGTGAGCTTATAATAAAGCTTACCTGCAGGTAAAATGAATATCTCCTAAACGTGCACCGTTTTTTTTTTTTTTCTGTTTTTAGGAAGCTACATTACCGCTTTAAGTGCTGGAATTAGCCATAGTATCAGCCTTTTGCAGTCTCTGTACAGCAGAGCTCAAAGGGAGAGGGAAAAGCAGAACAAGGTGCCAATCAGCTGTGCTGCATTAAAAGGAGCAAGCTAATAGGATGAGAGCATAGAGTGGTGCTCATCAGTATGCTTCTTCCCCCACAATTGTCCACTCGCACCATGGGGGTGGGAAGGAGACCTGTAAATAAATGTGACGCTACAGCAGAAAAAGATGAGGTCCCTTCCCCTTCTAGACAGAGATGTTGTGCTGGTGCAGAGCTGTGTAACTCTCAGGACTGGATGGACAGAAATTCAAATCCTATGGCATAAAAAACACCCACTTTTTTATGTATTTCATCTCTGGATTTAGCTGCTTGCTTTGAATGTTGCTTTTAGTATTTTAAAAACCATATTTCTATGTATAGTTTGTAATTATAGATATACATACGGGGCAACTTTATTTACTCATTACATACTCTGGTTTTGCTTCCTCCTTAGCAATGGCACATGAGAGGGGGACTGGGCCAGTCCTAATAAGATATAATGGGCTGGTGACAATGAGATACTTATAGATCAGAGCAGGACCTGCAAATGGTAAAACCAGCTGGGCATTCTATTGGTACCTTCTCCCCGATCCGGTTTGGGATCGTAGCACCAGGCAGAGGGGAGTCTTCCAGCTCTAAGTTCTTGTGCCAAGAGCTGCAGAGCAAGCTGTTCATATAAATTTAGATCAGTCATTTATATCTATCATTGCACAGATACATAGCACTCGGCTGTGTCAATGGATTATCCAGCAGTTGTGTTTGCTTTCTGCGGCTTGGTCACATTGACCAGCTGCTGATAACATGTAAGGGAAAGCCTGGTTGGAATGTCATTGGTTGTGTAAGCAGAGAGACACAGCAGGGAATAGGCGACTAACTGTGTACACATTCCCAACAAATAACGGTTTATCTTTTACCTCGAATACAGAAATGTATGCACAAACCTAAAGTATATTGAAAGTCAAAACTTTAGGACATGGGTCTCCAAACTTTCCAAGCAAAGGGTCAGGTAACTGTCCTTCAGGCTTTAGGGGGGCTGGACTGTAGTCAGTGAGAGTATAAAATGCTCCAATATCAGTGCTCCATCATTGGTTTTAATGGGAGGATCAGTGCCCCACTGTTGATTCAGTAGATGAATAGTGCCCCATTGATGGTTTCATTAGGGTAATGGTGCCTCATCATTGGTGTAAGTGTGTGGAACAGTGGCCCAAGCGCCAGATAAGGGCAAGCAAAGGTCCATGGCTGACCCCCATGCCGCATTTTGGAGACCACTGCTTTAGGAGAGCATAGAGAATGGTTAAAGAAGATCATCATGTTTTTTTATTTTTTTGTAGCTGATTAATTTTAAGAATAGAGTACTTACCAGTCCATGGATTCCAACATGGTCTTCCGATTCTTCTCACCACCCTGGGTCCCTGGTGCTCCATCTTGATTTTTGGAGCTGGCTTGGACTTCCTGATGAGTCAAAGGCAGCTTCACATTGCACATGGTTGAGCTCATGCGAGGAGGCTGGTCCTGCAGTCTCCTGGAGGTTGCGGGTGGGGGGCAGGGGGCGAATGGAGTCACCCTTGCCTAGACTAAAGAAGTGGGAGTGAGTACACACAAAACAACTCAGTTACAGGTGGGGGTGAGGGGATAGGGTAAAGAATAAGTGGTACTTAATTTTTTAGGCGAAGTTCCACCTCAATACCCTATGGTGAGTTTTTCCACTATGGCTGATCAACTCAATTGGATTGAATCCAACCGAAAATGAGTCAAAATCGATTGGAAGGCAAAGTATGGCTATTCGATTGTTGGGGGATTCAATCAGAAAAAGAAATATTGAAGTGTGTATGGCCACCATTAGTCACCTTCCTGGCCTCAGCATGTAACTAGTCAGTGAAACTCCAGCAGTAGTCTGATGGAGTCATCCCCCTGCTTTCTCCTCCTGTCAGCATGTTGGTTGCCAGCATATGACTGGCCCTTCATATTGCCTTTCCTCTCCCAGTCTGAGTTTTACTGTACAAAGGATTACATGAGTCTGATGTCAAGCCAAAGTAAGCAGCACTGTTTGTATTTGAAAATATTTTTTAATGACTACGCTACGGCATGAATTTGTGTTTTCTATAAATCTGCCCGGAGTTCCCCTTTTAAGCACAGTAGGTAGTTGGAAGCTTGGTGAACCCAAGTAGACCCAACAGTTCCACCTGTTCATTGCACTCCCCCCCTGCTGTGTAGACCTGTTGGCACATGCAGTGGAAAGGAAGTTGATCAGGGACTGAGTCATGATTCTCCGGTACAAGTGACAAGTCACATGTCGCTGAGCTGGATGACAGATGACCACAAGTGTCTGACACCTGATGATGGGACTGCCGGCTGGAAAGCAAAGTTTACATTCTCGTATAGAAGCGATTTTCCATGTGACACCACCATTGTGCCAGCAACCCTCTCAGCTCGGGACTATTCAATGTCAGGAAGCTGTTCATGTTTTGGAAAATGTAAATATATTGTAATCCTCTGTATAAAGTAAAACAATATTGCATTAGATACACTACACTATTGCAGTTTAATATATTTACATGAAGGACGTCTTTTTAACTTGTTATAACTTTTTTAAATAAAATTGACAATTTTTTTTTTTTAATTCCGCAGCTGCTAGAACTGATAGCAAAGTCCCAGCTGACCTCGCTGAGTGGCATTGCCCAGAAGAACTACATGAATATACTGGAGAAAGTGGTTCAGAAAGGTAAGAGACCACCGCTTACTGTTCAGGGGTGAACATCATACGTGTCCACAGGGGCCCAAAACAATAGAAGGGGCCCAAAAGCAGAAGAGGATGCTACATGGAGGCCAAGGAGATCAGGGTAAAGGTTGAGCTCCTTTCCACTGTTGGCCATCAGTTCTTCTTTGCAGGGTAACCACAACCCAATACAAGCAAATAGAGAGAGTCGGCAACTCCAAAATCCATGTGATTATTATTGAGTATACAGGAGTGACATGATGGCAAGCTGACATGTTTCGGCACACAGTCTTGCCATGAACAAGGCTGTCTGCCGAAACGCGTCAGTGCTTTTATGCCACTCCTGTATACTCAATAAAAATCATCATATGGGTTTTGGAGTTACCAGCTCTCTCTTTGCTTGTACTGGATCTAGTGGTTGGAGGACACTATAGAGCCTGAGCCCCCAGGTTTGAATTCCTCTCTGTAATTGAAGGTGTGTTCTCCTGTGAGTGCTTCCTCTGTTTTCTGTGTCTAACTACAACCCAATAAAGCTACATACCCACAGGTGACTTGGCCTGTTAGCGTCATACCCCAGCATTTATGAGCACTGGGAAGGCAGAGGCTGAAATATGCGATAGGTGGAGGCTTTCCCGAGCTGTACTCACTGTCAGGAATGGACTCAGCACTGGTGGTGGGACTCACCTGCCGTGTGGGCTGCAGTACCAGGGCTGACCAGCGGGTGCTCTCAGCAACCAGAAGCTCACTCCTGCAGTCAGCCATCAGCTGAAGCTGATTGCAGGAGGTGTATTTAAGTAGGACCAGGCCTGTGATCAGGGCCTTGGTGTATTGTTTCCCATTAGCCCCTGTATCTGGTATCCTGTGTTCCTGTGCTGCTGACTATCTGATTTGTTGCCGACCCTGCCTGATCCTGACCTCTGCTGACTTCTCCTGCTTGATCCCTGGCTTGCCTGACCATCCTTCTGCCTGATCCTCTGTACCGCGCTGCCCGTGAGTTACTGAACCCGGCTTGTGACCCTGACTATTCTCTGCCTGCTCCTCCGGTACCTCACTGTCCGCACGTTGCTGACCTGGCCTGCCTGACTACGCCTGATGCTACCCAGACGATCCATCCATCCCGCACGGATCCAGTCACTACTGTCCAAACCTACCAGCCCCTTCACATCAGGCTTTCCCCTGGTACATACCCTCGGCGGACCCCTCTACCACAGTTGGGTGCACTCAGGGGCCGCGACCTGGTCTCAGTCCTGCGCCAAGTCCATCCCCACCATCAGGGGCTCTGGTGAAAAGGCAAACTGGGGCTTGGACTCCGCGCCCTGGGGAATCCTGTTCTGTGGGTCACTAGAGATCCCGCCGGGCGGTGCCTGACGGTACCTTACGGCCCGCCTGACCATTCCACCTCTCCAGCCCTGACTACGCCTGTGTTCCTGAAGCCTGCTACTTCCCTGTGTCAGTCCACACATTTCTGGTCATACCCGGATCCCTAACACTCACATTTAGAGCCATATGCATTTCAGAGACGTAAATCCCAAATGTTGGAATTCTGAACCTGGACACATACAGCTTCAAACTCGGGTACCGCTTTGAACAGCATCCAGCTGCCTCGTAATTTAGCCTTTCATAGGTTTTGACTGAAGGCTGGGGCTGGGCACTATACCTTTGCCTCCCTGGTCCTCTAAAATGCCTGGATATGGTGCTGGTGGGCCAAACCACCAGTGTGTATGAGGCCTAAGGATGTTAAAAGTGAACCTATGCTTTTTGCATGTTGCACACACTGGGACACACTAGAGATGTAGAATTCGGCACAGAGCCAGACAACTGGTCGAACGCTGGAGATTCTGTGCCTGTGGCTCTAAAAGAGAATGAAGATCAGAGTTGCCAGCAGTGGGCCAGTCAAAGCTAAACTCCGGGATAAGCCAATATTGTCTGAATATAAGAGCCATGTGTATTCTTACTTGAATCTTGGTGTGCTTTGTGTATTTCTTCCAGATCTGCGCAGTAATTCAGTGTGAGACTTCACCTCTGTGCAGGAACTTCCTGTATTGAGACCGGTCACTGCTGCTCTCTCTCCTAGTGCAGGGTGACTGGTCTTGTCTCCACCCACCTCCTGTAGTTTTCTGCAGGCAGGCTGGAGTAGGTAGAGCCTGCTGGGTCCCTCCCAGAGCTCTGGTCTCTGCACAGACTATGTACAGCACAGTGATGTCACTGATACTTTTTACAAGGCAATAACTGGGTGTGCAAATTATTTTGGGGACGCAAAGTGGATTTATATCAGTGGTCTCCGAACTATGGCCCAGGGGCTGGATGTGGCCCTTTTCTAGCCTCTATCTGGCCTTTGGGTGCACTATTTAACCAACTGACACTACTGATGGGACACCATTCCTCCCACTGACACCAACAACAGGGCCTTATTCCTCTAAATAAAAAATGGTAGGGCATTATTTATGCCCACTGATGCCTGGGCATTTTCTACTCCCACTGGCCATAGTCCGGCCACCTAAATCCTGAAGGACAGTAAACTGGCCCTTTGCTTAGAAAGTTTGGAGACCCAATTTATATCCTTTGTGGTATTTGAAAAATATTTAACTGAAAGCTTCTGTGGCCAGAATTTAGTGTTAATTATCATTACTCCAGCCAAAAATGACTTAAAAATAAAAGGATATAAAGCAAGAGAGGGGCTCTAACTGATCCTCCCCCACTGTCCAAAATTAAATGAAGAGCTTTGGCTGCAGCAATGCAATAAAATTGTTTTAGGATGAATATGGAGTAAAATCTCCTTTTCATACTGTGTTGGATGATGAAAATTCGTAGCATATGGCCAGCTTTACCCTCAGCTCTCAATCTGCTGCGATGTGTTCAGGATGTTTTTGGTGGTTAGAATCCAGGGGCCCTGAATCAGGAGAAATAAATATTTGCCTTGGAAAGCCTCAGTATAAACAGTCACCTTAAACGTTCGAGATGCTGTTTTTATTTCCAGGAATAACATCAAGCTTGTTCTTCCTTTTTTTTTTTTTTTTTTTTTTTTTTTTTTTTTTTTTTTTACGTGTTGGACAAAAAAAGAAAAGCATTTAAGAAGTCCAGTATAAAATAAAAATATGCACTAGAATGCAGTGATATTTATGTAAAAATGTGTTTTCATGTAGCTACTGTAAGTAGCTGAATTTGTTTTTGCTTCTTTTTAGCCCTTTACAGTAAAGCTTAGACTGGGAGAGGGATGTGCAGATATAGAAGCTAATCTGGTGTGCTGCATACACATGCAGAAAAGCAACCTGCTGACAGGAGGAGAAAGCAGAGTGACAGAGGTTGGCTGCTGCTCCTTTATTGTCAAATTGCAGGCTCTGGGCAGTAATGTGACCTAGAATTATTGCTTAACTGGGGAGCATAAAAAGTCAGGTTGACAGCTGTATTGTGGAGGAAGTTGAGCAGGGGAGTGCTATTTGGCTTCATTTTAAAGAACTGTCACTTGTTTCCTTTTATACTCCGATCCTTGTTCTAACAAGGTCATGCTTTATGTTGTTGATTTTAATAATTTTCTTTTACATTTTGTTCTGGCAGTTCTGAAGGATCAGCAGAACATTCGTCTGATAAAGGAACTGCTGCAGACCCTGTATTCATCATTGTGCACACTGGTGCAGGGACATGGCAAGTCTGTCTTGGTGGGAAACATTAACTTCTGGGTTCCTAGGATGGAGACCATTCTAGACTGGCTGCAACAACTACACAACATCCAGATCACCAGGGTAAGTTGGAACCCACCTACCTGTGATTGGGTACTACCAAATCTCCCAAAATAGGTTAGTTGTTTAAAAGTATAAGTTCATTTAATTGTTAAAAATACCTTCAGATGCCCTTCCTGGATCACTCAATACAGTAAACTATGCAATCCCCTTGCCTCCTATGGGACCTCCTATGCTATCTGCAGCCCAAAAAAACCTAGTGCCAGGCCATGCCATTTAAATGATTTCAATGGGATTCACTGCAGAAATCAAAGGCAAAATATTTGTGCCTAGTATATGTTTAAAAACATTATAAATTCTTTTTTTTTTTTTTTTTACAAGTAATTGCATTATCACTGTCCCCAGCTGCATAAGGGGCTTGGGGAGCTAGGTGTGGAGAAACAGTACACTGATCTTCCCAGTGAATGGATGTGCAGGATGGGGTGTCATCACAAGTCTTGACTAATGAAGATAGGCAGACTGCACAACCAGAAAACCGACCTCTCCGGGAAGAATGTGCTTGTATGCCTAGTGGGGGTCAGATTTTAATAGCAAAGCAGAGGGACTGGCAGGATCGCCAGGGATTTCATACAAAGGAAACAAGACAAAGAGAACATGATACATTATGAAACAAGTAGTTGTTACAACAGACCCATATCAGGAATATGAAATGTTGGGGTGGGATAATTAATGGGAAGGCTGTCATTGCTGACTTCCGTCTGAAAATACTAGTTATCTGGCTGTCTGAAGCTTCAATATTTTTGGAGTCAATGACCTGGAGAAAGCAAATGGATGAGAAAGTTAGTGTGAAGTTGAAACTCCTGACCTGTACACTTGTCCCAGGTTTGTGCCTTAGATAGAACCAAAGCTATTTGATTAATGACATCCAGGAATCTAGTATGTTTAGAAAAAGAAGTCAGAAACTTTCCATCCAATGGATAAGAACAGATTTTCTATCCCATCGAACTGGTGTGCCCCTCAAGAGCAGCTGTGCATCAGGCTTTGGCCTGGCACCATTGACAATAGATGTTGCCTACTGGACCAATGTAGGCTTCCTGACCCTTTTTGTGCTGAGATTCTGCTCTTATTATGACATGAAATTGCATGTTACCAGCTGAAGAAGTGCTGTCTTTTCAGCCCTCTGCATTCCTCCCAGCTTAACGCACTGTCTTTTCTATCTTTAGCCCGCTGTTAAGGGAATGACCTTAACCGATCTCCCCTTGTGTCTGCAAATGAACATCATACAGAGGTTAACGGATGGGAGGGACATTGTCTGCTTGGGTCAAGTGTCTTCGGATTTGCAAGTTCTCAGCGAGGACCGTCTGTTGTGGAAAAAGCTGTGCCACTATCACTTTACAGAACGCCAGGTAACTGGACACCCCCAGGCGCACACAAAAATAAAACCCATTGTGTTGGCTTTTCATAGCATTGCTTTAGCTACGACAAAGAAAGCTTCTACTAATATGTCCCACTAGCCTCCAGCACATTGTGCAGCTTCTTCTAGACAGATTGTTCCCATTAGTGTTCATCACACATCATTGAATACCTCTGTGGAGGTAATATGGAAGAATTACAGGCTGTGCCCAGCTGAAATATAAACTGATGATTATCTGAGGAGCTGACGTCTTCGAGTGATTTAAAGAGATCTGTAATAAATGTATGATGCCAGATAGCCTGGTCCTTCTGTATTAAAGAAACCAATTTAGATAAATATGGATGAATAGATGGCTGGCTAGATAGATCTGGATGGAGGAGGGAAAAATGACTACCCAATGAATAGCTAGAGATGGATCAATAGATGGATAGTAGATGAATGAATGGATGCATAGATCAATGGAAGGATAATTGTTGGATGAATGTATAAATGGATGATGGATGGATGCATGGATCAATGGAAGGATAGTTGTTTGGATGAATATATAAATGGATGATGGATGGATGCATGGATCAATGGAAGGATAGTTGTTGGATGAATGAATGTATGTATGATGGATGGATGCATGGATCAATGGAAGGATAGTTGTTGGATGAATGTATCAATGGGATGATGGATGGATGCATGGATCAATGGAAGGATAGTTGTTGATGAATGAATGTATAAATGGATGCATGGATCAATGGAAGGATAGTTGTTGGATGAATGAATGTATAAATGGATGCATGGATCAATGGAAGGATAGTTGTTGAATGAATGTATAAATGGATGCATGGATCAATGGAAGGATAGTTGTTGGATGAATGAATGTATAAATGGATGCATGGATCAATGGAAGGATAGTTGTTGGATGAATGTATAAATGGATGATGGATGGATGCATGGATCAATGGAAGGAAGTTGTTGGATGAATGAATGAATGAATGATGATAAATGGATGCATGGATCAATGGAAGGATAGTTGTTGGATGAATGAATGTATAAATGGATGATGGATGGATGCATGGATCAATGGAAGGATAGTTGTTGGATGAATGTATAAATGGATGATGGATGGATGCATGGATCAATGGAAGGATAATTGTTGAATGAATGTATAAATGGATGATGGATGGATGCATGGATCAATGGAAGGATAGTTCTTGGATGAATGAATGTATAAATGGATGCATGGATCAATGGAAGGATAGGTGTTGGATAAATTAATGTATAAATGGATGATGGATGGATGGATGCATGGATCAATGGAAGGATAGTTGTTGAATGAATATATAAATGGGTGGATAGATAGGTGGGGAATGGCAAGAAGATGACTGGATGGATAGAAAGGGAGTGGATGGATGGATCAATGGATGGATAGATAATGAATGTATGATGGATGGATAGGTGGGGAATGGAAAAAATGATGACTGAATGAATATAGAGGATGGATGGGTGTATGGACCAATAGCTGGATAATGGATGAATACAGGGATGATGAATGGATAGATGACGGAAGGATAAATTAACTAGGTATATGGTGAGGGATGGATAAATGATAGATTGATGGAAAGACAGAGGATGGATGGATAGATGTGTAAATAATTGGTAGATAGATACATGGGTAATCGATTATGGATTGATGGATAATAATAGACAATTGATTGATGGATACATGAATGGATGGACAGCTTTTCCTTCTACTGGATACATGTATCGTGGACAATGTAATCAGCATCCTTGCTAAATGATTGCTGAGATAAACAAATTGATTGCAGGATAAGCTGAGTGAGTGTATTACTTTTAAAATTGCATGTCCTAATGATAGTGCTATATTACTGTTGTCTTACCACAGGTCTATCACTTTACTGTTCTGGGAGACAAACTGAATATTTCCTCATAGCTCTTTCTGATATATGGATAACTGTACATTTCAGAAATCCAGGCCATCATACGTCATGAATTGTATGATTCTTTGTAGGCTGAGAAAATATTCCTGCCTATATTCAAGATAATCACATTAGCAATTTACCTGGTGTGAACCTGATTAGTTCATAATAATGATGGTCTCTTTAGCTACCCTATCCCAGAACTGTATTACAGAGAGGCGGGAGGGAGTGTAACATGTTCCTACATATCTGGAAAGTCTGTGTATTTCTTTGGGGCTCTGATAGTAGACTGGGGCATAGAGAAAAGTAAAACTTTCTAGACTTCCAATAGCGCCTCAATTACACTACATTAACAGATCTCAGGTTTGTCACATTTCTCTCCTGCCGTTGTACAACACAACTGGCCTCTGTGGCCACCATCAGTACCATCATTGACTTCTGAGATGTTGATGGAGCTTTTCAGAATGTCAAAGTTTGAAAGATCAGCTTTATGAATATGATAAACTTTTTTTCTTTTAATTTTATTTTAGATTCGTAAGAGGCTTATCATATCTGATAAGGGAACTCTGGACTGGAAGAAAATGTATTTCAAACTGGTGCGGTGCTACCCCAGGAGAGAACAATATGGAGACACTCTACAGTTCTGCCAACACTGTCACATCCTGTCCTGGAGGGTGAGAAAAAAATTGTATTTTAATACTGATGCCTGTATACACTGTTACTAAACTCTGTGCAGATACAACAGACACAAATGAATACAGCTTTGTGTTCATTAATTCATCATTATTACAACACTGCACCCAAATAAAATGTATGTCCTTTTTTCCCACAAATTGAGCTTTCTTTCGGTGGTATTTGATTGCCAGTGCATTTATTTTTTGGGCTATAAGCAAAAAAGACCGATAATTTTGAAAAAAAAAACACAATATTTTGGACTTTTTGTTAATAAACATGTCCAGTAAAAAAATTTAAAAAATCAAATTTCGTCATAAATTTAGGCCAAAATGTATTCTGCGACATGGTTTTGCTAATAAAATCCCAATTCGTGTAAATTAATTGGTTTATTATTATAGCGTTTACAAATGGCGGTATAGATAATGGGATTTTTTTTTTCTACTAGTAATGGTGGCAATCAGTGACTTTTAGCAGGACTGCGGCGGACATTCTGACACTGGGGGGAAATAACTTGGTGACACTGACATCTCCAATGACACCAATACAGTGATCAGTACTAAAAAAAAGCACTGACACTGTAGTAATGGCACGGGCAAAAAGGGGTTAATGTGAGGGGTGATCAAAGGGTTAATTGTGTGCTGTGTGTGTTTTACTAGGGGGCGGGGGGGTGTGTTCTGTTCTGTGTGTGCTGTGCACAGCCATCCCAATTAGTCTGCTCGAGCTGACAGGGAGGAAGATTGTAAAACAAAACAATCTTCCTCCCCATTGGAGATGCTCGGTAATCACCAGCCGGGACCCAATGATTGACATCCGCGGCCGCGATGCGCGGCTCGTGCGTGCCCTCTACCCGAAGATGCAAAGTCGTGTGTATGTGTGTGTGTGTGTGTGTGTGTGTGTGTGTGTGTGTGTGTGTGTGTGTGTGTATATATATGTATATATATATATATATATATAGTGTGTGTGTGTGATTTTGCACACAGGTGTCGCCCTGTAGCAGTATATCTGCTATGGGGTGGTCCTTAACCTCCTTAGCGGTACTCCCGAGTGTAGCTCGGGGTTAACTTTCAGCACCACAAGCGGTAACCCCGAGCTACACTCAGGATTACCCTGCAGCATTGCTCTGGGATCCCTCTTGCACTTACCTTGTCCTTCACTCCTTCGCCCCCTTGCAGCGTCCCCGACCATCTCCTCCGGCCGATTCCGGGTTCCGGTCCCTGCGAGCGTCTGGATGTAACCAGCAGGAAATTTAAAAAATGTTAACAAAACACATTCGCTAAATACACTAAAATCACATAGTATAACATTACTGTATCAAACCATTTCACATACATTTTGTCCCGAGTGCTTTTGTCCTGCGCCCCGCCTGCATTTTTTACTGTTCTTTCTGCCTTGAAACTGAGAAATGTCCATGGCGTCCAAAAAGCGTCCCTTTAGGTCAAAAGCGGTTTTAGACCGGCTAGAGAACAGCGATAGTAAATCAGAACCACTTGCAGAATTGAGTGATAATGATTCGTGGGGGAAATTCCTCATCAGACACTGAAAACGATTTTGCGACTTTGCTCAGTGATATGCGAACTTGGCGCTCTTTAAAATTTCAGTGTTTTTGGTTTGATTACATTATTGAATTTTTTTTATTTTTATGATTGTGTTTCAAATTTTATCATACCCGGGATGTTTACTAGACTCTTGTTCAGACAGATTTCAGTGAGTTATTCCTACAAATTACAGGCCTACAATAAGAAAACAACATATTTCCATGCAAAAAAAATTACCGCTTTGAGCGCAGAAATACTGACATAATCAGACCGCTAGGGATGTAAAATATATAAATGTGCCTCTTGTATTCTCCTGTACAGCAAAGCTGAGATTGGGAGAATGAAGCAGCACAAGAAGTGAATCAGGTGTGCTGTAGTGCTAACGAGGGACATGATAGAAGGGGAAAGCAGAATGCCAGGGTGGTGAGCTCATCAGTGTACTGCTTCTCCTTTCACTGTCCAGTTACAGGCCCATATGGGAAGGAGAATTGCAAGTTTTTCAGTTAAAGTATAACTAAAGGCACACTTTTTTAGTTTTGGATAGAGTGGAGAGTGATTTGAACACCTGAATGTTCAATGCTATACTGAGCCACAAACATTGTCACTGATAGAGAAGACCGGTGAGTTTCGTGACAATTAGCTAACAGTCTCTCTAGAGTAGTGTTGTCATTGTTATAAATTGTTCTTTTTCTTTCCTATCTCACCAATCTCCATGTATTTCCCCACTTAGGGTACAGAGCACCCTTGCACAGCAAACAATCCAGAAAGCTGCTTGGTCTCCCTCTCCCCACAAGATTTCATCAACTTATTTCGGTTCTGAACCCTCTGGATCATATTAACAAACTAAGTTGAACAATTTTAAGGTCCGAACCTACTATGTAAATAATGTAAATTTCGCAACTGGTACAAGCCACAGATATTTCTTGTGGAAGACGGCAAAGTTCACTTGACTTCTGTCAGAAGAAAGTGTTTTACTACAAGACTCGGCTGGACTTCTCAAAGCGTTGGCCAAGGATCATTGTCATTTGTGGAAGTCATCATAGCATGCACTAGGTGCATTTGGATCCAAGGAGCAGGAACTGAGATGGTCTGTAAATAGAATTCTCAGCATTTATGTACTAAGGCTTTCTTGAAGACTCTTTACCTTGACGGGAAATTTTTTCAAATGACCTGGTTTTGCCATAAACTGTGCTATTCCTCAGCACTCCGCCCACAGAATGTTGAATACACCACACATCTGTCTACCTCTTTTATACAACACCTTCCATCCAGTAGAATTTTTTTCAATGCTCAACACCAACCAGCCTGATGTAGATATGGGTGAATATTTTAAAGGGACTCTAATGTCATTGATTTTAATTTTCGTATTCGACGACTCTGGGGGATATAAACGTGGATGTGAATGAGCAACTACAATTGGTTTAGTCCTGTATTTTTGAGAAGAAGCAAGTTGGATCCTAATTACCGTAAATTAGTTCAAAAGAACGCCAAAGCTGGAGTCTGAATACGATCCACAGATTTTTTTTATTAATTAAAATCCAGGCATTCTAGTACAGCAAGAAGATTCGAATGCATTTCGGCTTACCAATCCTTAATCATAGCCAGCTTATATTTTACTCCCCTTAAATGTTCAGTCACAGGAAATTGTTTTAATTAAGTTAGATCTAAACCCAATCACTAAAATTCCAGATAAGTGTTAATGTATTTTCTAAAGTTCTTTTCACTTTTTTTTTTAAAATAAGCAGCTTTTTAAAAAAAAAAAAAAACAAAAAAACCTGGTGAGAATTGCCATAAAGATCCTTGTTCAGGCACTTCCTGTTATGAGGGTGACAACGGTATGCCAAGTATGTTGTGTTGTCACCCTGTCACATGCACCCCTGATAGAGACTACAAGAGGCCATTCCTTCACACCTTGTGCAGCCATAGTCTCCTTTTTGTCATTATCAGGAAGCCATTCCACAGGAGTGATGTGTAGCCCATGCTCATGCGAGTGCATGCTGACAGATAATAGTTTAAAAGAGACTGGAGGAGATCATCACCTCTGGGATGCAAAAAAAAAAAAAAAAAATTAAAAAGTAAAAAAAGCATTTCATAGAAAAAAAGCACTAATTCGGATACTGTTTTATCAAACTAAATGTCATCCAGTTGGGGTTTAGATCTACTTTAATCTCTGCTTATTTCATGCAGTACAATTAAATATGAGGGTGTGGACAAATAGCAAAGGCTAGAGAGTACTAGGAATGGAACACAATACCATTGGCTGGGAATGTGAGAGTCCAGAAAGGTGTTAATATTGAGAAAAGTAGTAATGCTGGCCATAATTTTGCTCAATGGGTGGACCTGCTGGTCCCATTCTGTTCGTTTGACTTTTGTTGAAGGACGCTGGTAAAAAATGTTTGGCCGAACAGCAGCTGTATCAAATCAGATGGAGCCACTGTAGGAGTATTTTGATGGCTGGCTGGCTGGTCCAGCAATCCAAATACAATACTCATAGCTGGAGATTAGTTCATCCACACTGTAGAGAGTGAATGGAGAAACTGGTTAAGCTGACCATAAATGGGTAACATTTTGAACAAAAATTCTTAGAAAAAGTCTTAGGGAAATTTCAGTGAAAATTCTCAGAACCTTCGAAAGATGTTTGCTTTTAACATTTGATTTAAGAATGAATGGAGTTTACATTCGAGAAATTAATTTGAGAAAAAATTTCTTATCATGCCGGTTGAAAACTAGCATTGATTTGACCCCCTAATGATTAGAAAAATGACCAAACTTTCTTAGAAAATTATTTTCCTAAGAATTTTTGTTTGACATTCTACACATCTACGGCCAACTTTAGTTTTTGGGGGGTTTTTTTTCATTCAGCTGTACGCCTATCAGTGTATAGACCACAATTCTTTTAATTTTGCACAAAAATGTGCATAGTGTATACAGTTTTATGTGAGACACAAGTAGAGAAACCATTTTGAGGTTCTTGTCCTGATTTGTGAAAACATTTCACAAAAACTTGATATCCTGCATGTGCTAACAGAAAAGGGAATTGATTTTAGAAAGTGATTTTATTTTTGGATGTTAGATATTTGATCTCTTATAACCTTGTGGAGAATATTTTGTTTCTGACTCGTGTATAGATCTGTGGTTTGGGATTGACCTTTTTTAATTTTTAGCATATAAAGGGGACCTGTTGTGAAAGATACAGCCATGCTGTCATTCCCAACTTCTATATGCAGAAGCATGTACCATGTTGGCCATCAACAAAAGTAGAATTTTTGGATTTAGGGTGTTAACATTTATTGGCTAGCCAGTATATTGTATCATCCTAAATGCAAACGTCGACTCTTATATGAAAACCCAGCTGACTGGCTGTCGTGGCATTCCTCTGAATTGAAGCTGACCTCCAGGCTTAATACATAAATTAAATGCATATACGGGAGTTGTTTTCAACCTGCCCAAGGATTTGTATTACTGTCCATCCTGACCTGAGATTTACACAACCCTATCAAACAGCATGGGCAAGTGGCTGACACCACTTATTAGTCATGATTAATGTGGTGTCTCTACACCTTCAGCCTTCTGACTGACAGTAAATGAGAAGCAGCAGGCTGATGAGTTTATCCCTCTGCTCTCTCCTCCAATCAGCTTGAGCCATGCATGCAGTTCACCTGACTGGCTCCTTGTGCTGTTGCTTCCTCTCCCGGTCTGGACAGTAAAAGAGAAGCAGTAGGCTGATGAGGTCATCCTTCTACTCTCCTCCAATCAGCTTGATCCATGCATGCAGTTCACCTGACTGGCTCCTTGTGGTGTTGCTCCCTCTCCCGGTCTGGACAGTAAAAGAGAAGCAGTAGACTGATGGTCATCCTTCTGCTCTCTCCTCCAATCAGCTTGAGCTATGCAAGCACTTCACCTGACTGGCTCCTTGTGGTATTGCTCCCTCTCCTGGTCTGGACAGGAAAAGAAGCAGTAGACTGATGAGGTCATCCTTCTGCTCTCTCCATTAATCAGCTTGAGCCATGCATGCAGTTCACCTGACTGGCTCCTTGTGGTGTTGCTCCCTCTCCCGGTTTGAATAGTAAAATAAAAGCAGTAGGCTGATGAGGTCATCCTTCTACTCTCCTCCAATCAGCTTGATCCATGCATACAGTTCACCTGACTGGCTCCTTGTGCTGTTGCTTCCTCTCCCGGTCTGGACAGTAAAAGAGAAGCAGTAGACTGATGAGGTCATCCTTCTGCTCTCTCCTTCAATCAGCTTGAGCCATGCATGCAGTTCACCTGACTGGCTCCTTTTGGTGTTACTCCCTCTCCCGGTCTGGACAGTAAAAGAGAAGCAGTAGAGTGATCAGGTCATCCTTCTGCTCTCTCCTCCAATCAGCTTGAGCTATGCATGCAGTTCACCTGACTGGCTCCTTGTGGTGTTGCTCCCTCTCCCGATCTGGACAGTAAAAGAAGCAGTAGACTGATGAGGTCATCCTTCTGCTCTCTCCTTCAATCAGCTTGAGCCATGCATGCAGTTCACCTGACTGGCTCCTTGTGCTGTTGCTCCCTCTCCCGGTTTGGATAGTAAAAGAGAAGCAGTAGGCTGATGAGGTCATCCTTCTACTTTCCTCCAATCAGCTTGATCCATGCATGCAGTTCACCTGATTGTCACCTTGTGCTGTTGCTCCCTCTCCTGGCCCGAGCTCTGCTGTATAGCGCATTGGAAGAAGCTGGTGCCAAGTCAAATTCAGGTATTTACACCAGTTACATAAAAAATCTTAATTTAATGATGAATTAATGGATACAGAGCTGCACTAAATTGTGTCTTTTACAACTGCCTGGAGTTCAGCTTTAACTAACCTAGCAGTGACTGACCTGGAGCATGAAGGCAATCTCCAGTTTCCAGCCATTGAGCCTCTGACTTGACTTATGAAGTAGCAAACATGACAGCCAGAGAGCAAGCGTTTTCAGAAGGTAGAGAAGAGCAGCAGAGGTAGTTCTCCACGATAGGTTCCCTTTTAGTACTTTTCTCTGCGTCTTAATATATAAAGAGGTAGCTTTGGTCCCGTAAAGGCAAGTTAGACGGCACATTTTATCACAAATAATATGAATATGTTCACACAAATGCACTTTTTTTATATATTTATATTTATTGTGTGTTAGTATGCTTGTGACATGATTTATGTACTGTATATATTGACATGAGATGGGCAGTTTACCTTCTTTAATAATGATTTTTAAAAGTATTTAATGAGGCTTATAATAATAATAATGTGCAATGTGCTGGAAATTCTTAAAGGCTGAAGGCACTTTGGAGAAACTTTCAAGCACTAAGAAAGTTACATTTGACCTGCTTCAGGTATATTTGTTCACGTTAAGTACATGCATGCAAAGCCTCCGTGTGCTTGAAATCTCACCTGCTTGTACCCTTCACTATGTTGGATCCTTTTCCGGCACATACCACTAATGCTATAGTTGCTGTGTTTCCTCTTGAGCTTATGAGGACCGTTAACTTTGTACACTAATGCAAGCTGAGGAATACTCCATGTTGACGCATAGCCGAAACCAAACAAATTTTAACTTTTTTTTTTTTAAGGGTTTAAAATTGTAAATGTTTCTGTTTATTCAGGTTTTTTTTTTTTTTACAATTGCTTATTGAGTAGAGAATCAAGGAAGTACAATTATTTTGGTTCTTGAACCCTAGCATCTCTTGTTTTATTGAAACTACAAGTCTCAGCCAGACTCGATGGAACAAAAGCACTTTTTTTTAATCTGTTTTGAAATGCCAGTACAGCTGGCCATACACTAGTAGAATTCTGAACGAACGTTTGTACAAACATGCATATAAAA